AATGATACAAAAAATAACAACGCAGATAGGCTTGAAACAACGCCAAATGAAGGAGGGGCAACCCCAGGAGATGATGAGACCCCAAAGGAGAAAGATCCTGAGGCAGCGCAACCTGTTTTGAAAAAATGACTGCCTCACAGTTGCTCAACCACAATAAATTTTTGGAAGAAGTTGAAAAGTTGCAAAATGGAACCATCACTGAAGGTGAGTTCCTGGGTGGCTTGCAACAGAGACAAAAGCAAGGGTTGTTCCACATGATGGACAAGAGAAGATCTGCTGCAGAAAATGAAAACTGGAAACAAATGGTTGGCCCTGGAAGCAAGAAAAAGAAAAACACACAGCTGCTTCAATTTCTGAGTAGAACAAAAAGCCAATTTTGCTGGAATGCCACCAAAGATGTGGAATGGGTGAGTTGGAAAAAGGTGTGTGAGGAATATGGAGAGCAGGAAGCAAAGCTTCGAGTTGCCAACCTCATCCTCACCAGGAGGTGTCCAGAGGCAAAGAAAAAGGGCCTGAAGATCTGGCAGTTTTGCAAGGTTTGAGAAAAGACCAGATTCAACCAAGGCTTGCAACAGAGCCTAGAAGACGAAGGTGCCAAGGACACAAATGAAAAAGAACATAGGAAGTTCACCAAGGCTTTGCTATCATTGGAGCCAGAGGGTTCTGAAGAAGAAGCCTTTAGCAGGGCACTGTGGCATAACCACAAAAAGAAGCCAAAGGCTTTGATGGATGGCTTGGAGGAGAGCCTGGAAGACAGCTCTTCTGAAGAGAATGAATGTGACAGTGAAGAGATGCCAGAGCCAGACCAATTCTTGGCTGAGCTGGAAGGTCAGGCAAGCAGCAGTAAGCCACAGAAGCCTGATAAAGCCACTAAGGCAGAAGAAAAAAAGAGAAAGCAAGAAGCAAGGGAACATGAGAAGGAAAAAGAGAAGAAGAAAAGCAAAAGGCCAAAGAAGAGCAAGCAACAAAGCGCAGAAAAAATCGAACAACAAGAAGAAAAGTGGCAGCAAGAAGTGGAGCAAGCCTCCAACTGCCCAGACAACAAAATGGCTGTGAGCTTGAGGAAAAGGAACTCATTGCTGGCTGTGGAATTGAAAAACACACAGGAGGCAATGAAACAGCATCCCAAGCACAGTGGCTTGAAAGATAGCCTTAAAGCCTTGCAGCAAGACAGGCTTGAGTTGGAGGAAGCTCTAGTGGATGAGCCCTCAGAAGAGGTGGGAAAGGCACTCCTGAAAAGTATTGCAGAGAAATTAAAACGAAACAAACAAATTCGAAAGAGTTTGTAGGCTTGAAACAGAGCCAGGCATTAGCTTGCAAGAGCCAACAACAGAGCCTAGGAAAAAAGAGCTGCTTTGAACAAGTCCATGATAACACATGTCTGTATAAGTTCTACAAGTTTTCTTGTGAACATGTTAATTCCATTCTGCAGCCCTTTCACTAACTCAAACTTTCTGTTCAAGCAGGGCTTGACAGACAGCCATGCCATGGCACTACACTTGGAGCAAAACATGGAAGGGGTGGAGGGACTGGAAATATGAGCTCCCTGAAGATGAAGATGAAAAAGCATGCCGTCAGGAATGTGGCTTGAAGCAAAGCCAAAGCCTTGGGATAGGATTGGTGAACCAAAACACAAGCAAAGGAGATCAAGGCTCAAGGTGTAGGGGAGGCCTGGAACAAGGCCATGCCCAAAGTTGACAGGAAATTGAGGGGGGCTTGGAAGAGGGCCATGCCCAAAGTTCCCAGGGGCATGCTGATCTTGGAGGCTTGAGCCCTTTGTCAAAAGCTTGCCTGGCTGATCTTCTGTACAATTCTGCTTGCAGCTGAATTTTCACAATCACCCCAGAGATGAAAATAAAAGCAAAAGAAATAAAGCAGCAAAGGGGCTTGGAACAGAGCCGTGGTTGCAAATGGGAAAATGGGTGCATTCATGAAACTATCCTAAGAGGGGCTGGCTCTACTTCCTTTGCTGACCTGCCTGGACATGTCCTTGAAGGTGATAGAAAAGCATTTGAAGACAAATGCAAAAGGCTTGAAGACCAAGCTGGATCTCCCAGACCAAAGATTTCTTAAACAAATAACAATCTGCAATGATCTGCAATGTGGCTTGGAAGAAAGCCAAGCAGCAACATGTGGCTGGTGGCTTGGAAGAAAGCCTTTGCTTGATAGCTGATCTTTGGCTGAAATAGAATGCATTTCATTCTGTGAATTCTTTCAATATGTGGGTGCATGTTTGCTGTTTGCTGTCTTCTTGTTTTCTGTTTGCGGTTTTTTGTTCATGCTTCTTTGTTTGCAGCTGTTTTGTCCAAAGAAGATTCATTGTTTAACTTGTGGGCATTATTCAAGGCTTCTATTGGTGTGGCTTGAAACACAGCCATGCCAGGCATCCATCAAAGAGTGCACATGGCAGACCAAGACAAGAAACATAATCTAAAGAGAGAAAGCTGCCTCAGCAAAAAATGCTCCACATGCGGGGGCTAGGCAAGCTTTCGGCCACTGCAGTGCAAGAGATTGCACACGCAGCAGTGAATGATGGTGTGGACGCAGAAGAATTGCATGAGCTGGCTAGCCTTGGCACCTGGGGTGAGCACCCTGGCAACACCCACAGGGACCTGCGCAGGCTTCTAACCAAAAAGATCAACCAGGGGAGGCTGGGTGGCTTGCAAGAGAGCCCATCTTTTAGAATTAAGGTCCCTGCCTTGGATTCAAAAGAAGACAAGCCTGAAAGCATGGTTGACTTCCCTGCCCTGGCTGCTCACTTGTTTGGGTTGGACAAGGTCCACCAATTTTGGGCAGGTGTGCAGCCAGATGACCCCAGGCTCACAGGCAGCCCAATCGATTTAGACAAAGCCAGAAATGCAGAGAAGCAGGTGATCCCTTTGTGGCTGCATGGCGCGTTCTCATTTGGCCCTTGTCTCTATTCTCCTGCTTCAAGTGGCTTGAAACAAAGCCAAGTTGTGGACCATGCTTTCTGCCTGGCTGCATTTCCAAAGAGCGCACAATTGAAACACACCTGGCAACATGTTTATCAAATTCTAGCATGGAGTTTTCAAGCATTGTTCCATGGAACACATCCCAGCACATGGTGGCTTGAGAGTGAGCCTTTGCCACCTCAGTTCAAGAAGATGGCAGGCAAGCCAATCATTGAGAGAGGCCATACATTTTTGGTTTGGCAATACCAAGGAGATTTAGAATACTTTGCAAATGTGCTGGGCATGCCACATTGGAACAAGCCTGATTTTTGTTGGCTTTGCAATTGCCACTGGAACTTGAAACATCGATCTCCTTGGGATTTTCAAGATAGCCCCAATTGGCAGCTGCTGACACCCAGAGGTTTGAAAGAGAGCCAGTCTTCAAGCAATCCGTTCCTCACCAAGATCCCAGGTTGTGTGCAGCAATACAGGGTTGCAATTGACACGCTGCACACAGTAGATCTGGGTGTGGCTGCAACTAATTTGTGGCTCAACCCTTCATATGTGGTCATACCTGGTGGGTGGCAACAAAAGAGATGCCCCCCCGCCACATGTTTAAAGTGTTCAGAGATCTCTGAAGCTTGCAAGATCTTGAAAATTGCAGAAAGGTTCACAAACATTACCATCAATCAGTTCACCAATGGTGAGAAGCCATGGTCGCAAAAGCCATTGTTGAAAGGGAAGGCTGCAGAGCTGAGGCACTTGGCGCCTGTCCTTGCACTGGTGGCTTGGAATAAAGCCAAGCACCCAGCAGGCACTTTGGCACAGGAAGGGACTTGGAACAAAGCCAAGGAAACACAAGTAGCACTGCACATTGCAGAGGCCCTCACTTCACTGGCTTGCTTTTATGATATTTTGGCAGGAGCTGATGTTTTTCGGACAAATGAGGAGGCCATGGAGGCTTGCAACAAAGCCAAGAAATGCCTCCAACATTATGTATGGCTGAAAGCAGCCATTGATGATGACTTGAGGTGGTAGCTGACTCCCAAGTTCCACTTCTTCTATCACTTGGCCCATTTGGCCAAGTGGCAAAACCCAAGGTCCTTTTACCTATGGGAACGAAAGCTGGGTTGGCCAGATGGCCACTCTGGCACAAAGCTGCAGCCATGGGACTAGGGCCACAAAGCTTACAGATTCCTTCTGTCAAAAGTACCTTCTTGGGTACCAGATGAGGATCAATGACTTTGTGTGAGGTTTGAAAGAGAGCCATGCCCATTTCCATGCTTGCGGGCTTGAAACAGAGCCATGCAGACCCAGCCAACAGAAAAAAACAGTTTCAAGATATAGGTTGTATCAACACCTCTGATCTTCTCTTTAAAGGTTTGGGGATAGGTTTTGGGGCTTTGTAAAAACCGATCCCCAGGATTGGTAAAAACCGATCTTGGGGTTTGGTTTTTCTTGGTGTTGGGGATTGGTTTTTTGATGCTCAAAAACCGATCCTGGGGATTGATTTTTCTTGATGTTGGGGATTGGCTTTTTAAGATGCCCATCCCCCCCAGAACCGATCCCCACAAAAACCGATCCTGAGATTGGTTTTTTTCGATCTCGGATGCTCAGGGTTCGTGCGCTCGACACGCACGATCTCTGCAGAGGGTTACATTTTCGGTTGACGGTTGTTCGTCCCACCCTCCGCCTTTAAGAGAGAATTTATGAAGCGGGGAAATGTTTTTCATTAGGACATCTCACGTGCAAGTTTTCCATACTCATACTTGCATACTTGCACTGGGATTTTGCACTGGGATACTTAAATACTTAATACACTTGCATACTTTTGCACTTGGATACTTACACTTGCATACTTGCCCTTGGATGTTTTTTACCCTTACACTGGGATACGTATAGACGTGAAAGTGTTCAAGTGTCAGTGTGGAAGCGTAAGTGTTCAAGTGTAAGTATAGAAATGTCAGTGTTCAAGTGCAAGTGTGGAAGTGTCAGTGTGTAAGTGTAAGTGTCGAGTGTCAGTGTTCAAGGGATTTTCCGGAAGAACCCTTCGCAACGCTTTCGGGAAAAAGGTGCAGCTAAGATGACACTGATCTTCGCGGCGTCGGCTCTCGTCTTCTTGGGCTTGGCGCCTCAAGAAAGCAGAATGAAGGCTCTCGGATCGACCTATGAGCGCGTCACTTCTGTTGCGCAGCCCTATGAGTGCCAAGCTCGAAAAGGTAAATCGATGCTCGGACGAAATGGTGACGCAGCCCGATCTCAGATTTGAAGATGCGCGGTGACCAAGAATAACGTCAAACACTTTTGTATGCTGGCAAGGGATGCACATATTTGTATATTTTCTTTGCCTACTCTCCCAATTGGAAAACTTGCTTTGAGCTTTGAACTAGGCGACATTGCCTGAGCCGACTTTCAATAGCCCAGAAGAAAACAATACGCGTAATACACAACAAAAGAAAACGTCAAGGGTAAGACCCTTCCCGGAGTCGGAACAGATGGCACACACCTGCGCAAAACATCTTGCCCAAACAACTTCAACACTTGGAACCGTCCTAGGAGAAGCAGCTCGTGCTCCGAGGTGCTCCGCCTAGGCCGCGAAAATACAATCGCAATTTTGCTGCCCAGTTGAACAAAAACTGCGGGTCACACTGACGGCGCCCGTCTCATGTGAGACGAAGGGCCCCCGCCTTGCACCACAGACTTTTTGCACCGAACATCGAATGCAAGGAACACTGCAGGGCACTAAACGTTGAAGTGTAAAAAATCCAGAAAAACGCGGGAGACGCAACTACATAAACAAAATAAAAGCGCGCTGCCAAAACAAACACAATCAAACGAAACCAAGGCTGCCCTTTGACCAACCACTCATCACTACTCAAGTTTCGTGGGGGTGACGCATTCCGCGCCAGCGTGGGGCCGGTGGAATGAGCAGCTAATTTGCATGTTTCTTATGCTCAGTTCCATGTTCGTTTGGAGGAACCCACCTGTCTGCTTTAAATCTTGCCTAAGATCACGAAAAACACTGAAACTGTATCCTGACGGGTCTCCTTGCGCATCTGACTGACCCTTCCTTGCCTGGAGTGCCCACTCTCCTTCTTCGAACTTTTGTGGCTTGATCCTGGCTTTTGTGCATGTCAACGTACGCCACGAAAGCACTCCAGCACTCGACCAGACATGCCCCGAAAGCATTGAGTCAATGTAGGATGGTGCAGCGTTTTGGAAAGGAGAAGGTTGAAGCCATGTAGAAAGGCCTCTTTATGTGTATATTTATATATACATGCAAAAGATTGCAAATCTATATACATACGGCTTTGTGATGGCTTCGGACACGTGCATTTCTGCAATTTTTGGTTTGCTGCAAGCAATGTGCTCGGATCATAAGTCTGATATTTGAAGAAATTCGGCAAACTCATTGCGCAGGTACTTGTTCTCAGCCTTGAGCTTGTCATTTTCCTCCTCAATCTCCGGGTGTGTCTGCGCAGATTCTAGCAGGTCCACAGCTAGCTACATACGACGCGGCGTGGCAATTCACGACGCTCGTGAGAAAATCCCTCACCTCTTTCTGATCATCTTCATCCACGTTGTAAAAGCTCCACTTGGGCCTTTGGGATTCGGCTTCCACGCACCTCCTTCACAGTTTGAACTGAACCTCAGTTCCACGGTCGATACCACAGGCTGGCTTCAACCTGCCTCGCCCTCTGCAGCCGGCGGTGGTGAGAAAGGAGCATCACTGGAGAGGCATTCCAACAGTCCTTTATGTGGGTCCAGCACACCTCTGCGCTTCTTTTCGTTTACCCTTCTGGTCTTTTCCTCCTTCGCCCTTGCCCTCTTTTCCTGCGCTTTCCTTTGTCCTCCTTAGTCTTGCCTTTGCTCTTTGCAACCTTACCTGCTGCGCCTTTGCTCTTGCCATCACCCTTCTGCGCGCGATCAATCTCCATTGGGGCCACTCCTCCTAAACCGTAGCTCTGTTGCGTTGGGCTCATGGTCGACGTTCGATTCGTTCCATTTCGCGGTGGCACAGTAGGAGTTTCATTCAAAAATAACTTGAGGCGGTTTCCAAGGGCCCACCAATCGCCCTTAAGCACAGCCGCCCAACGTCTCATACTATGCAAGCGCTCCTTGAGTTCAAGGATCTGAGGCAAAATCAAAGGCTTCATATTGAAGTTGGGATACGACATGATGCCTTGGAACAAATTCATCACCCTGTTCCGAGCTTGGGGTTGGCGATTGAACAGCAACTGTCTCAATGCCTCTCGGCCATTGAAGTGATCCACGTTCTTCACCGCTTCCAAGCAAACTGTGAAGAAATGTACTCCTAATCCCGATCAGCTTCACCGTCGAATCCTTCTCCAACTTTTCAAGCTCGTCCTGGTATGGCTGCCGAAAACAACCAAATAATTGCTGCCGCCAATCGCTCCACTCCAGTATTGCTTGCGCACCTGACTCTCCTTGAGACGTTGAAGGATGTGTGAGGCCGTCTGCGCGGCCTGCGTGGCTGCTGAGGCCGTGGCTATGGGTGAGCTCTGCAAAACCCACATCAAGTCAAAGGCTGTCGAACCATCCACCTTCTCTTACCTCTTCTTTCCTTTTCTTCACTTCCGTCTCCACTCCGCGCCTACGATCCTTGACAAACTCAAAATTCAACTGATTCCTAAAGACGCGGGCAGTCTGATCTTGTAGAGTTCGTGAAGCGCTGGCCCAAGTAAATTTTTGCGCTGAATGCAAGAGCTGCCAATTTACGGAGCTCTGGCCAGACTTAAAAGAATGTCCTGGCTCCGCTACCGGGCGGAAATCTTGTGATACGCTCAAAGGGTCTGCGGATACTGCGCCTTTCTCCATACGCGCGCGTCATATTCAGCTGAGTGACTAATGTTATTTTGTGGTGTGTATGAGGTTTGCAAAATGAGCTAGAGTTTGCAAACTAGATTGCTACGCGTTGTGGCTACAAACTTTTTTAGATAAAGCAGATGGAGGAGACGCAGGCGCTGAAGCAGTTGCCCCGAGCAGACACGCAAACTGGTGCGTACATACAAATTGATGGAAGGCTGCCAGAAACAACGCATCCAAAATCATCCCCTAGTCATATAGACAGTAGACAGGACATATTTACTTTGGAAAATAGAAGGCAGAGAGACGCAAAGCTTCGACACGATGGAGCCTGTATTACACAAGGCCTTGATCGACCCACATTCACTGTTACTGGTCAGCTGACCAGGTCACCTCAGTGTGGGGCGCCCTTGTCATACAGTCTCCCCTCTCCTGATTTTTACTCAGATTCACACACCTGGTCGGCGGACGATCTAAACAGTGACCTGAGCACATTGCAACGCTAATGGCCTCCCGATGTGCGGAGCGGACATGGATCCTTCACACACGTCGAGGTGTTGAGCGGCTTCTGTGGGGCGCGCTTGTGGGGAATAAAAAGGGCACCCCATATCAACGCCTAGGACCTAGTTGTAAAAATGTAGCTCGCAAGCGTCGGGAACTTCCGCGCTGAGTTCAATCTCCCTCGCCTGTCCTCTCCCTGCACTCACACGCCTGGTCAGCTCACCTCTTGTTCGTTGCATTTCGTGTCACGCAGTCTCCCCGCTCGTGTCCTCTACCCGGACTCCCGCCCCTCATAGACAACCCAAATAGTTTCCTGACCACTTCAGCGTTATTTGCGTCACTCGCATTTCACTACCTTTTGGGCGAGGAGAGGGAGGTTGGAAGTGGCCTCACTGCCTCAGGTTCTGGCACGAACGCAAGAGGGCCAGGTATTGTCAGAAAGTTCTTGAATCCTTGAATTGGATGCTGGGTCTCACTTGGGAGTAGGTGACTGGGGCTTCACGTGACCCCTTTTCTACATACTTCTGTTGACGCATTGTGGTTGATCAAATTCTCTCACGATGGAATGGCCATTGTTCGCCAAAGAAGACGCTGTCCGTATGAACACTCCTCCGTTCCTGTGGATGGAGAGTTCCCTGAGTTCACTGGCCACTACCAAAAGCACGTTTGTGGAGAAGCAGCCAGAAAGGCAGCGTTTTGTAACAGGAGGGTGTTTATATAGGATGATCATGTGACTTGAAATGCGCTACCTACCAGGACCCTCCAACAGGTCACCAACTTTGAATTCTAAGCCTCCAAAAACATCCATGTGGGAGCCTCTTGCAAGGAGGGGTCGCGGGTATACTTGGAAAAATGCCAATAGGGTCCGTGAAGGGGTCCTTCAAGCAGAAAGCCAAGAAGGGAAAGTCATCCGGAAGAACAACCGGCGTTTTCAGAGTTTCATGCAGCTTACCTTTTGTAAAGTCAGCACATGAGGTGCTGGCTGTTGACACATGATTCTCAAATTCCAAATCGCTTACAAAGGAGGCACACTTGCGCATGAACATATGTTGAGTTTCTCATTGAACTACCAGCTTCTTAATTATCAAACAGTTCTTGTAACTATACAGAAAATCGATCACCCTTGGAATAAAGGGTGGGGGGTGCAGGCCCTCATTTTCGCGGCCTTCTCGCGAAGCATGGTCCTAAAACCATGTCTAGTTAACATCTGTCAGCGTGAGCTGGAACTATATGCTTGTGTCACAGACATCTTGCAGCATGACCCCAGCACAAGGTTGGGAGTTGCCACTGTATCCTAAGTCCTGGAGGAGGCTTAGACCAGAGTCAGGCACAACTCAACCCAATCCTCGTGCCAGCTACTAACACAGGGTGATGCAGCTCAGGGTATGTTGGGGGGCTCAAGCTTAGAACTTAGACTTTAGTGGCACATTTGCGAAGCTTTCGCGGATCTTTCTCAAAAAATTCAGTGGTGACTTCCCTGGGTTCCCTGGGGTAACATGTGCAAACATCTGCAAAGCCCGTCAGAGCTGCGGATCGTTGCCTCACTGTCAGGGCTGTGCACAAGGACCAGTTAAGTTGTCAGGTTGCTAGTCTGTGACCGTCTGTGACAGGATTCGCAAAATCCTTTACGCACTGCAAGGGTGGGCAAGGAAATGTTGAGGCTTCAGTTCGTTAGTCTGTGACAGTGGGGACATGCGGGGATACCTCTGCCCATTGGCTGTGCCGGAGGGTTGCCTTGTATTCCTACCACTTGTCGGTCGGTAGAAAGGAAAACATAATTCGATAAATATTTCGCAAAAAGAATATATATATATATTTATACTTTCGCGAACCTCATCGCGAATCTTTCGCGCATGGTTTTAGCAAGCTGAAAAGGCTGCTTTATATAAAACTCCTTACACGGGGTCTTATATAGGTCAACTCCCACATATCGCTACAGCATGTTGCAGCCCCCCACACCCAGCCAAGCCAAACGGATACTCTGTGAGTCGTCGCGTAGAACTGTACCACCTCACCACCCGTAGATACACCACCACTAGGACATCAAATGAGGTGGTTCGAGTCTCTTTTTACCGATCAATCAATCTGTGACAAAATACATTCTGCAAATGATCACGCATCGTATCGTATGTCATACTGTATATCATAGAGGACACTGCATATCATGTCATTATATGTCCTATATACATATACTGTATATAATGTTGATAATTTAATATGATGCTCTGTCTAAGTTGCCATTTCTTTCGTCACAAAACCCTTTACTATGCTTTCGGTAAGAATCAAAGGTTCAAAACGTTCTGTCGCCTCCTTCGTCAGCCACGTGTTGGGCTTAAGATCGATGACAATACGCCCTTGCGCGCGCTGTGGACGTCTCTCGCAACAAGGATCAAACAAATTTGTGCGCAAGAAGACCTTTGACTGCTTTTTCCAACAGCCGACCTTCCAGGTCAGTGTTGACAACCGTCGCAGGAAGCCATTCTCCATGAGAAACCGACCAGTAGTCAACAAGATCATGCTTGCGAAACACCTCATGCTGCACTCAAGCAGGTGGAATAGTAGCTTGTCAATTGATGAGGCACAAGCTTCAAATTGCCGCGATTGCCGTGGACTTGCCCTTACTTGCGAAAACACTGCGCATGATTTCAGGTCAACAGCTTAGAGTCTCAGCATGCTCCGAGGCGACAACGCTCTGTTGGGGGAAGCCTCAGCCAAGCTGACGGCACTTCCCTGGCTTCCCGACTTCCCCTTTCTCTGTTGGGGGACAGGCTGCACGTGAACCTGCTCGTGAACCTGGCTGGCTTCCCTGGCCTAACCCAGCCATTGCGCCAGCTGCCTTGGAACTCTTGGCGGGATTGTGAAAAGCACAATCTTGTCCTTGGAGTCTCGTGACCCTCAATTATAGCTACTGTATGTGAGTGATGCCACCATATAGCTATAGCAGGACCACGGTCACCAATCTCGGATAGAATATATATATATATATACATACTTGGAGTCGAGCAAGTGCAGGACTCCTGCCGTACCCGGCCACAGTCCAAAGGTATCTCCGAACATATTCTGATTTCTGCAGAAACGTAAAGTAACGTCCTTCGTTGAAGCGGGGAAGCTCCCCGCGAGCCAGGCCGGCTGCCAGGCCTCGAAAATCCATCTATTACTACCTACAATAGTAGTGGTTGAATTCGGTCTGCTCACGCTGGGGCCACAAACCCAACCGCTGCAGGAGCTGCTCCTCCCCAGGACGGGCTTCGCCTTGATCACAATTTTGGTTTGAGACTTGTGATGCAATCGGCTTCGAAGACATGCTAGGCGTGCCCCATCTGTGGAGGAACGCCTCAAGCACGTCAAGTATGGAAGAGCTTTGAAGCACTACAATGACTACAGTAATAGCTGAACCAACAGGCTACAATGGCCACAACATTGATTCATCACCTACATTGCACAATCAATTTATATAAATACATGTGTATATATATATATACAAAGTGGTTCCCAGCGATTTTGACAAACTCAGCTCCGTCACCCCTGAAGCAATTCCGGTCGCCCACCTCGAAGGTCCATCCCAACAATCCAATCAGATCAGACGTCGAGACATCCACATTATCAACACTGGATTTGAGGTGGAGACAGAAGGGTTCCTGTCCAACGAGCCGAAATCGGGGAATATGTGGTAAATTTGGTGAGAGCTAGCTGACCTAAACATCGAGAGCCAACTTTAAAGGAGCTGGATGAAAGGGCTTGACAGCAAACAAGCACAACGGGCCTCAAAGGGGAGCCAGCACGCGAGCCTGCTCTTGAACCACCTTCAAGCTGCAAACTGCTTTTCGGAGCTTTCCATTGTGGTTTTCACCGTTCGCTTACGCTTCTTCCCCTGTTAAACAACTCTACAACCTCAAAAAGAAAATGTACTTGTTGTCTTCGGTTTCATCAAGTGGAAAGTGGATTTATGTGTGTTTGTTTGTTTGTTTGTTTTTTTGTTTGCTTCTTTATCTGTTTTGTTGATCGAAGCTACATACAGTAGGCACCTGCAAGTCAATCACTGTGCAATAGCATGCAGTAGGCAACAGCAGCCAAGTCTGCTTTTTGCAACATCAGCAGAAAAACTGGCTGCACCGCTGTACTTAGAAGTGCTGAGTCCGTAAACATCGCAGGCTTTTCCCAAAATGAAGCACGCTCCGCTTTCGAACCGTACATGACATCCGGCATTCTGAGCAATCGGCATTCTTTTCGCTTTCGAACCTTCTTGGCTTGATCCTGTCAGTCACCAGCTCCACAAAGTCGTTGCCAATTTGCCCACACCTCTTTGGAGATCCACGTATTTGGCCTCACAGACAAACTTACGTACATGGGAACAAATGCCTTCCTGTTCCGAGTTTTTGGCTTCAAGTCAACAATGATGCGCCCTTCTGGATCTGTCTTCACCACCGTTGCAGGCAGCCAGTCCTTGACAAGGGGCGGTTCAGAGCAAACAAAGGTCACAACTAAATGCAGTAAGTTGAGCCCATCGCTCCATGAGACACTGAATAATATTCCACCAAGTCATTTGTTTTGTAGCTGCCAGCACCTCAAGTGTCTTTTGTCTGAAGTCAAGTCCAGGAAAGCAAGATCTGTTTAAACCAAACACTGTCATTCGTAGGTAGCTCCACTTTGCAATGTCTGTAACGGCCAGTGGTTACTGTGGAGTGCGGCAGGCAGAAGGCTTAGGCAGAAGGCTTAGGCAGCGGCTTGCTATGTAGGGCTCTCCCACCTTGAGATCCAAGCACCAATGTGTTATCGAAGTCTTTCAAAGCGCCGGCCAAGGCCGTCTCTGTGAGCTTCTGACACTGGCACTGGGAGGCGGTGGCGGAAAGGATGGAGAAGCAGATGGTGTAGACAAAGCTGGGGCAGATCCATCCTCTGAGTTGACTCGGCGGAACCCGCTGTCGTCCGCAGCCTTAGAATCTGTTCAAAACAGAGATCTCACCCAGTCCAATGGCACGTGATAAATGCAATCGGCCTGGACGGCCTCCTGCGCTTCATCCAACATTTGTCTTACGATTCCTTGAAGTTGTGGCCTTGGAGCGCAAGTGCCATCAGCACTTTGGACTAGCTGAAGCAAGCAGTGGCTGAGATGTCGTCTTCTGCAGGATCTCTTCCGGGTTTGGGCGCCGATCTGGATTCCTCCCACGAGATGGCAACAATGGATGTTGCTGAATAGCTTCTCCTTATGTGACTGACTGGAAACTATAACTATGACTTCGGACCGTGTAATGATCCCACCAATGCAACTGGAGACAAAGCACAACAAGCCGATAAGCATCAAACCACCACTGCAAACGGGTCAAATTATATACTGTGTGACACAAAACAAGGTGCGCCGCAGCGAAATGGAAGCCGAAACACAGCTTGCCAGCAGTCAGATTTTGAATTTAATATGCAAAGGCAATATGAAGGCAATTCGGTCAAAAAAGTAACAATAAATACCTTTTGTCTAGGTCCAGTGTCTACACAACCTAAAGCAACACGTCAGCTCGGTGCAACAAAACAGCTTGCTGTTGTGGAATCAAGAATCCTCATGGCACGCCTGATGACTGCGGGAACCGCCAACAAGAATTTGATTGGGCGGAAAGCGTTGCTTGGCCAAAGGGACACCATTGGGCTGAGAAGAAATGCGAAAAGGGTAGCATCCAAATTTGCAGCCATCTATTTTTTGACAGCACTGGCCGCAGAACGGAGCTCCTGTTAAGCATTTGGCTCACAAGCTCCCTGAGGAAGGCCGAATATGTGGCTGGCCTGCAAATGCAAGGGCTGCAAAACATGAAGACATGCATTGGCAATGTCGTTTCGTGGGCCGATGGATCATCGTTGTAGTTGACCAGCTGAGGCTTGTGCACTGGTGGGACTGGAGCCTTTACCTCAATTCCAACTCGAAAACATGCGACGCATGTGACGCATGCCGAGCACCAACGCAAAGCAGTCTGGGGATGCCTTGCAATCCAAGGACTGAGCAATCTTCTGCACCAAGCCAGGAATATTCGGGGCATCAAAAGGAACTCTGAGAGCACATAACCTAGCAACTGCAATGGCAAACCTTGCATAATGAAGCTTGTATATAAATCCAGGAACAAAAAGCAAAAGCTCGCTGCAAAGGGAAAAACTCGGTGGCAAGCTCGTAGAGAATACAACCCATGGCCCAAATGTCCGAGCTAAAGGTGTAGGGCCTGAAGTCTTTAGGATGAGTTTGCCTTGTGCTTGTACGGTGCATCTGCCAAACATGATTTGACACAGTGCTTCATCTATACACTTGAAAGGATCCTACCATCATACTACTTCTTCTAAAAGAGATGTTGCAACCTGAACTGTATGCAAACAATCTAGCACATGAACTCAGGCACTAACTTTTCCTGGCATAGCTCAGGGCTTAGATAATACGGCCTCACTCCACAAATGACCAAATGACATATATATATATATAACATCTATATATTTAGAACTACCAAAGTGAAAGGTACTTGTAAAGTAATGTTGTAAAGTAATGAGTGGGGGCCCCGGCGTCCCAATCTGCGTTTTCGCAACAGCAATGGTGCACGCCAGCACCTGTTACTCTTGGCCACAACATCAACAATGCTGGTTCCTTCAGCAAAACAGTCCAATGGAGAAGCCTTTGCAATACCAAAGTCGCCCATCTTCAAATTCCTCTCAAGGCTTAGCGGCTAGATGCCAACTTTCCACTGAGCTTACATGCTTGAAAAATGTTGAGACCGTCTTCGCAATGCGGGTCCCACTCTTGGAGAGGAAGAAATTTGAAGGCTTCAAGTCGCGGTGCAGGACGTGTTTCTCATGAATGTACTTCAGGGCCAAGATTGCTTGAGCAAACCTGTCACCAAAGCATTGTATGCAAAAACACTTGCAAACAACGACAGTCCGTGCACCAGCGCAAGATTTGATCTTCTGGAAAAGGCTTTCGACTTCGCTTGGCCTTGGAAGACACTCTTGAATCGACTGTGTCATTGAGGAACACATAAAGTGCATACAATGAAGAGGCCTCTGAAATGCGAGCAGTAAGATCTCCTCCTTCGCAGTAGTCCATCAAAATGCAAAGCCTGCCATACATGAAACTGTTTGAAGTGCCCCGATGGTTGTCAAACAGCTGACACAATGGGTGGCCAGTCAAAAAGTACACAGCCAGGAGTGCCAACCACTCTCAGTGAAGCTCTCACGGTAACGAACGATGTAAGGGTGCTTCCTTGCATTGATCTTCATTGAGCCAACAAAGGATCGAGACCAAGCTGTTCAGGGCAAATGTGCAATTTGGTCTCTGCTTTGCTTCGCTTGCATACGTCTCAAAACGCATCTACTGAGTCGCAGGCAGTTCAGACAAAAGTTTGCCTTCCTTCACTGCGTCCTTTGGCTGTTCAAACTTGCGCATTGTGACCGCAACGCGATGTGGTTACATCGACGTATAATGTCATCTCAACAAACCAGTTCATCGCAAACACAGCCGAAGTGCTGAGTGTGAATCAGTCAGTTAACTAGTACACTGGCTTGACTTTTGCCGCGCTGGCTGGCTGTAACAGCTGAAAGACTTGCACCTGTTTGTTCATGCTTGGAAGTTGACCTTGAGATTACATATCTCACGTGGAGCCCTTTGTTGCTTAGAGAAAGGAGAATGCGTTTTGTGCGGAGAGGGCTATGAGCCCAAGAGTCGCCACTGACTCGAGGGTTTCGGTGTTTCCCTTCGAACTTTCCTGCCATGAGCGAAGGCGCAGCTTCTGAACGAACCCCTGAATCAGGGGGTATGCGCGCGATCGAGGACGCGGGGCCTTCGAGCGGTGTCATGGCTCGACCTAGTGGTCCACCTACGGTGGTGGGTCCAGCAAACTGCAACCCCTTCTGGAGCAAGGGCATGCGGGACGAAGCGATCCTGCGGGCGATTAGACCCGCTGACCTTCCTCAAGAGTCCCCAGAGTTGATGCCGGTGGAGCCTACGGGGCTCAGCCCACCCAGGGAAGGCCGGAGGCTTTCAAGGTGGTGATCCAAGGCTTAGTTTCTGAAAGCGCTCGTCTATGGGGGGAACGAGAGGCCTACATCAAAAACTGTCCCATATGCCACGCGCCAGCGACGCCCAAGCACATCATTTGGCTTTGCAAGTGGCACAGAGACCAGCAGCATGCCCCCTTATCAGCGGAGGCTGGAACGCATCGCTGCATCACCCGCCCAGAGGAAGAACCACTCTGGTCGAAAGGGTGGGTACCACTTGAACCACAAGACCACAGGCAGCTCACTCACTCACTCACTCTCACTCACTCTCACTCACTCTCACTCACTCTCACTC